ACACACCTAAAACACAACATATCAATAAGTAAAAATAAAGAGATGGATAAAGATATACCACGTGAACACTGTAGCACAGATTACAAAAGTGGCAGGAGAATATTATGAAAATAATTATGTTAACACATTTGTAAACTCATAAAAAATGGACATATTCCCAGAAAAATATCTTAGCAACATTGTCTTAAGAACAAACAGAAAGTCTGAGGAGTCTATAACTACAACAAAAAGAACACATCAGGGCTAGGTATTTTTATAGACAAGTTCTACAAAATTTAAAAACAACTGCGCTTTGATTATTATGATGCAAAAATGAGTTTGTGGTGCCATTCTAGTAAAGAATTGAATTTCTTTTTTGTTCAATGCTATAAAGAGCTTTGCTCAGGGCGCCTGGGTGGCTCAGTTGGTTAAGCGTCCGACTTCAGCTCAGGTCACGATCTTACAGTCTGTGAGTTCGAGCCCTGTGTCGGGCTCTGTGCTGACAGCTCAGAGCTCTGGAGCCTGCTTCCAGTTCTCCCTGACCCTCCCTCTGCTCCTCCCATTCATGCTCTGTCTCTGTCTCAAAAATAAATAAAAACATTAAAAAAAAAAAAAAGATCTTTGCTCACTTAAAATAAGCAAATATATAAAAGATTGACTCTGTTCAAAAAAAAAAAAAAGAAAGAGCAACTGATATTTACCCAAATTTCTCCACAGAACAAAAAGCTGTATACTCACATAATGAGATTAGTTTAACCTTGATACTTAGGAACAGCACAAGAAAGGACAAGTACAGGGGAATCCTATTCATGAACATTAATGAAAAAACCCTACAAATATATTTGTAAACAAAATCCAGCAATGTGTTAAAATATAACTCGCTATGAACAAACTGGGTTTATTCCAAGAATACCACAATAGTTTATACCATGTAACTGCCCATGAAAACAGATAAAATGGTTAAAACAATATGATTATTTGAGACGAAGAAAAGACATTTGATAAAAATCAACTAAATATGATTTAAAATTAAACTCTTGGAAAATTTTTAAAATCAGAAAGAATATAAGGATGACCAGTACATTGCTTCTATTAGTTATTGTTCTGGAGAGTCTAACAACAAAATGAGAAAAAGAAAGAAAAGGTGTAAAGATTAGAAAGAATCACAATTGTTACTATTTGCAGATGATATTATTTTGATAACATAAAAGTGTACTTAACATAATAAGATATCTTGATAACATAAAAGTGTACAAATTATTGGAATTAATTAGAGTGTAGCAAGGTGGTTCTTACAAGATCACTATACTCCAATCAATTATATTTCTATATACTGAAACACAGGAAAGATCATTAAAAGGTATATCACTTACAATGATAATGAGACAATACAAGGTACGTAGAAATAAAAACAACAAAAAATATGCAAAACTCTAGTGATGAAAATTAAAAATGTTACTGAAAAGCATTAAAGGAAACCTAAATAATGGAGAGATGGATGATGTCCCGGGACAGGAAGATACCATCACGTAGATTTCAGTTCTCTTCAAACTGATGCATGGATTCAATTCAATTCATACAAAAATTTTAGTATGTTTCTTTGTGAACTTGCCAAAGCTAACTCAAAAACCCATGTGAAAAAGAAAGAACCCCTAAAATACTCCTGAAGAGTAAGACTACGGGAGCTTGATATTAGCAGCACACAAACCAGTTAACAAAGAAGAAAGCTCACACACAGATCTATACATATGCAGCAACTTGATATAACAGGGGTAGCACTGCACATTAGTGAAAAAAGGAGCATTCAGTAAATGGTGCTGAGCCAGTACTCGTAACTACTGTGCTAGACAGTGCAGATCTAGACTGTTCAATATTCTTGGCTAATAAGGGCTCTGCCAGCAAATGTATTGATCACTACTGATTTCTTCACCAAGACTCCCTCTTCCCAGTCTTGTGAGCCCCATGGAAGATACACAATGGATAGCTGTCTGTGGGGGAGGTGGGGGTTGCAAGTACATCCCCCCCCCCTTAATCTGTAGTGAAAACAAGAGAAGAGGAAGTGGATTCCTCCCCTTATCAAGTCTTGGTGGGAAGGTGTCTCTCCACCTGCCCTCTCCTCTAAGTGTGGCACATGGGGTGGCCAGCAGAAAGGACAACAGGCATGTTCATGCTATCACCCTCAGTGGCTCTCCTCTGCATTTTTGCAGAAACTCTTCCCAGCTTCAGATTCGTAAGTATAAAACCTTTTAGGAATGAGACAGTATTTCTTTTCTAAGGAGACTTGCATTGCCCCAGCAGTAAATTAACTGATGGAAGGAGGTAGTCTAACAGAAATGCTTAGTCCTACAGTGGTGGTACCACTTTGATAGTAAGAAAAAATAACGGCACTTTAAAAATTCAAAATCTTTGGCTTTTGTATTAAGGTGAATCAAATCTTGTTTGGACCTAGATGATATTATGTTAAGTAAAATAAGTCAGACAGAGAAAGACAAGTGCCATATGATTTCACTTAGAATGGAATCTAAAAAGCAAAAGAAACAAAGCAGAAACAGGCCCATATAAACAGAGAACAAACTGGTGGCTGCCAGAGGTGAAAGGGCGAGGGAATGGGCAAAATGGGTGAAGGGGAGTGGAAAGTACAGGCTTCCAGTTATGGAATGAGTAAGTCACAGGGATGAAAGGCGCAGCATAGGGAATAGAGTCAGTGGTACTGTGACAGTTTTGCATGGTGACAGATGGCAGCTATACTTGTGGTGAGCACAGCATAACATATAGAGTTATCAAATCACTATGTTTACACCTGAAACTAACGTAACACTGTGTGTCGACTAGACTTAAATTAAAAAATAAATAAAATAAAGTGAATGACACCCAACTTATTGGGCTCTAAAGTGTCTACAACAACGTTCCAAATGTTTCATTAAACCATGAAATTCAGCAAATAAACAATCCATATGCTGATGGACCTGGAGGGAAATATTCAGTATATATACTGAATTAAAACTAGAGCCTCCAATTGGATGCAACTTTAGAAAGAAGAAAATAATACATACACTAATAATTGGGTAAAAAGCTACCTGTTCCTTATGTTGAAAACAAGAATTTGTAATTTTTTAAATTTTATATTTTTAAGTAAACTTTATCACTGCTGTAATATAATACTATATTCCTCTTGTGCAAAAAATCACCATCATATTCTCCAAATTCTCTACCAATTCTAACATACACTATGATTCAATGACATTTTTAAGTCTCTGATGCCGCGAATAAACCCTGAAGCATTCTTTTCTAACTTAGTTTTTTGGGTTGGAAAAGAGTACACAAAAGAGGCCTATGAAGAAAAAGTTTCAGAGAAGACACGTTTAGGTAAGCGACACGTATTAGGCAGGACCTTACTTCTACTTCTCGGTCTCACTTTTCTCATTTGTGAAATAAGGATCTCGTTATCTGTCTCACACATTACTAAGAGGGTCAATAACTAGCACACAGGGATGAGTAGTGTCCCCCCTCAAATTCCTGTCCAGCTGGGATCTGTCAACGTGACCTTATTTGGAAACAGGTCTTGTAGATGGATCAAGTTAAGATGAGGTCATAGCGAATTAGGGTGGGCCATACATCCAATGACTGGTGTCTTTATGAGAAGGGAATGTGAAGACAGAGACACAGAAATGGCCCTATGACAATGGAGGCAGAGATTAAAATGATGCTGCTACAAGCCAAGGAACACCAAGGACTGCTGGCAACCATGAGAAGTGAGGAAGATTCTCTCCCCTTCAGAGAGAACACGGCCCAGCAGACTCCTTGACTGCAGACTTGTAGCCTGAACACTCAGAATGTGGTACTCTGTTACAGCAGACCACAAGAAACAAATACAGCATTGATGCCTAAAACAGAAATGAAGCATTTGGCTCATCTCCCACATAGAAAAAACATACCATACGTTTTGTTAGGGCTCAATTCACAGCAGGCAGATTCTAATGTTGCTTGACATGGACTCTCCAAGAACACATTTCCATAGTGTTTTAGTTAGGGATCATGTTTACAAGTGACTAATACTCAACTGGAGTTTAAAAGGCCTGGGAATGGAGTGGAGTGGGGTGGGGAGGTGAGAGAGGGATTTGAGGGGGAGTGAGAGAGGGGTGATATTAGTGGATCCTGATTTTCCCATGCAGATGCAGCTGGGCGTCTGGAGTTACTAAAGGCAGGACTCACCATCTGGTTTCTTATTTTATTCTTCCTGTGCATTAATTTCCTTCTTTCCTCCAACTGTAGTCTGTCTTTACCCACCACATGAAAACATGACTGCCAGCAGCTCCCAAGTCTTAGCTTTCACAAAGTGTGCCCCCAAAGAAAGACTGTCTCCATTCTCTGGGTCCCCAAGTCCAAAATGCCCAGTGAAACACTTTGAGGGGCCTGAGCGGGGTCAGCTTCCACTCCTGAACCACCTGCTGCCACCCCATGGCTGGGAAGGCACCAGAGGAGGGATGGATGGAGACAATCTACACAAGCACTAGCTCCAGTTTCCTTCATGATAAAGCACAGTTTCACTTGGGTTCTTTTACCCCAAATTCTCACTAAAATGCTAAAGCGAGCAGCCAGAGATACAGAAGTAATTGTAAAGGCAGATACAAAGACAATTTGAAGACAAAGAAGTTGTCAAAGATAAATCATCGAGAAATGCAGGACCTTGATAAAGAACTTTTAGTGAAGAGCCAATAAGCACATCAACTGGATGTCTTATGTAAGTTTAAATAAAACAATTTTCACAGTTGGACTTAACTGAAAAATAATTTCCTTCCTTTACAAGAATAAAAAAGAATATAACAAATTAAGCTACCACTTGAAGATACACTTTAAAGGAAGTCTTATCTTTTGGTAGTAGAGGAAATACATTTCATCAGCAATAAACATTTGACTGCCCTGTAAGGGCAGGGCACTGAGGTGCCACAAGATTGTTTCCAGAGATAATTAAACTCAATATATGACTTTTAACTTTCTTAGAAATAGAAATGATCACTTACCATGGTACTGGGGTCTCTATCAGCTCGATTTCGTTCAAAAGAATTTATTTTATGGGCACTCATTTCATCAGTATCAGCAATGATATAATGTCTGGGAGAGTAAGCATTGGACAGGTGCTCAAGCAGCCTCAGGATCTCAGTGGTGTGCCCACCTGGAAAAAATATTGAAAGGCCTAAGATTAAAAATCCCACAATGTGGGGGCACCTGGGTGGCTCAGTTAGTTTGGCTCAGGTCATGATCTCCCCGTTCATGGGTTCCAGCCCCGCATCGGTCTCTGTGTTGACAGCTCAGAGCCTGGAGCCTACTTCAGATTCTGTGTCTCCCCCTCTCTCTACCCCTCCCCTGCTTGCACTCTGTCTCTCTGTGTCTCTCTCTCTTTCAAAAATAAATTTAAAAAATTTTTTAAAGAATTAAAAATGCCACAATGTGGTTATTAGAGGGGAGGCAGGTGGGGGGATGAATTAAATAGGTGATGGGGATTAAGCAGTGTACTTGTTGTGATGAGCACTGGATGTGCACTGGATGTGTTGAATGTACATTGTACTTTACACCTGAAACTGATATTACGCTGTGTTAACTAACTGGAATTGAAATAAACATTGAAAAGAAAAAAGAAATGCCCAACGGACATATCCATTTGGCTCTGCTATACTAATGTTATGTTTTACGTATTCCTCAAAAGACAAAAGCAACATCTGGAAATAATAATCAATGCCCTTGTATAAATACTACTTTTATATGGGGGAAGAGGATAATAAAAGTAAAACAATAAAATTGGCACTAGCAGTAGGTGCTAAGGAGGCACAAAGAAGTAGAAGACACAACTCCTGTTATCAAGAAGCCTGGTACAAGGGGAAAGAATGCACACAGACATGTAAAGAGTGATGCAAGACAGCATGAAAAATTTAAATGAGGGCAGAGGGGAGGCAAGCAAATGGTTATGATAACAACCTTGTAAGAGTAGGGGAGATCCCTGATAAAGCTGAAGCCGAAGCTAATGGACACAGAGCAGTAGGGAGGCCACTGGGTGGGATCATTAGGACATGAGATGGCAAAATCTGAGATGTGGGCTCAAGGAATGGGGGAAATACTGGGGAGAAGGACGAGAGTGAAAGAAGATCAGGAAAGTAGGTTGAAAAATGGAAAAACTGTCACTGAAGGTTTCTGGGCTGCGAAGTAATGTCAGGGGGGCATGAGCACTGACCCGCAGGGCTCGGGGATTCCTAAGGAAGACTTCTGTTCATCACTCTAACCCCAGCTCCTAAGAGAAGTCTCAGCACACTGCAGGCCATCAAATATTTACCAGTTTCACCAAACAATGGTTCAAAGTTTGAAACTGTACAATCTCCAACATTTTAATGCTTTAATTTCAAAACCATGAATTCAAAAATCGACTGTGTAAATTGAGGTTTCCTTCATGAAAAAAAAAAAAACACAAAAGCACATCAATCTATCGCATTAACTATGCAGCATTTTTAAGCAAAGCAATCAAACTCCTTCTCAACGAGCCCTATCATACCCATTTAGTTTCATTTCACAATCTCTCAGCCTCAGCCAGGTTGATGTCCTTAACATTCTCTCTATTCATCTTGTTATCTCCTCCTTGTCTCTGGTCACACTGTTCCCCCCACCTACTAAACTCTCCTCCACTGCTACTGTTGCAAGAAAGTGCTTTTGATAGTGAAACAGTGAACATATAGAACAAATTAAGCATGTGGTTTCTCCCCATACACATATTTTATTATAGTAGAAAGGGAAGGATTACTCTCTACATTGCAGAAGGGACTAGATGTAGAAATAAAATTGGCATAGATTATGTGTGAGTTTCAGGAATTAGAATCATAATTTAGCTTTGTAACTTGTCACCCATCTTTGTGTCTGGGGCATGTAATTTACACATCTGATTTATGCTCATTTTTGTATTTTTGTTTTTAGCCTTGAGAAAGTGTGGTGGTTTGCAAAGTAGGTACTTGCTTTCACAGCTGGACCAATTAAGGATAAAAAGGATAATTTCCACATTTTCCACTGCAATTAAAACTTCATTATACCTGCTTTAACAGTCTTTTCTTTTCTTAAAAGGAAACACTTACTGAATACATTCTTTGAAGATTTAACCTTGCCACCAACTGAAGTCGTTACAATGATGGGCCTTGTCTTCCATTTTACTCTTTTATTAAGATATATTCTTTGGGAACAAAATCTTCTCAGTTCTACCTTACATAATGCTCAATGTCACTCATCATCAGGGAAATAAAAATCAAAGCCACACTGAGATACCGCCTCACACTGGTCAGAATGGCTAAAATGAACAAATCAGGAAACTACAGATGCTGGCAAGGATGTGGAGAAACGGGAACCCTCTTGCAGTGTTGGTGGGAATGCAAACTGGTGAAGCCACTCTGGAAAACAGTGTGGAGGTTCCTCAAAAAAATTAAAAATAGGGGCGCCTGGGTGGCGCAGTCGGTTAGGCGTCCGACTTCAGCCAGGTCACGATCTCGCGGTCCGTGAGTTCGAGCCCCGCGTCGGGCTCTGGGCTGATGGCTCAGAGCCTGGAGCCTGTTTCCGATTCTGTGTCTCCCTCTTTCTCTGCCCCTCCCCCGTTCATGCTCTGTCTCTCTCTGTCCTAAAAATAAATAAAAAACGTTGAAAAAAAAATTAAAAAAAAAA